GAGCAGGGAGCCCGATGCGGGACTCGATCCCGGGACTCCAGGATCATGACCTGAGCCGAAGGCAGTCGCTTAACCAACTGAGCCACCCAGGCGCCCCGATCCGATTAGGCTTCTTAGTGTCCAGTCATCTGTGCTATTCTCAGCCCGTGACTCTGAGTTATGCCCGGGCAAGGGCGAGGCTCTGCAGTCTGGCCGTCGGCAGAGCGTGCTCGGCTCCGCTTTCTAGTAATGGTGACAGGCTGGCAGGGGGCCAGCTTGACCCTTCCCCCTTGTGACTGGTTCGGGGCCTAATGTCTTCCTTCTGTCCTACACAAATTGGCCGCCTCATGCTCACCTCGAGGTCTTGTCATCCTGGCTGGGCCCGGCTGGCACACAGAGCGGACATTCCCAGGCTCCTGTCCCCTGGAATGACCTACATGAACGGGGCGGGGGGGTTGGGGGGGGTCGAGGGCAGCCAGAGCTGTGGACAGCTGTTTATTTCACATCTAATGACCACTTTGCTTATATGCGATTATGTGGTGAGAATATGTGAAATCATTTGGCTTGGTTTTGGAGAGAGAGAACGTAGCTGTTATTTATATGGCCTACCAAATGGGAATTTATAGTTTTAATGTCATTTATAATTTTACCTTGTCCAAAATGTTCCCTATCTCCCTAAATAAAGTATAATTGGTAGGTTGGGAGTTTAATTTTGAAAATTGTTAGATTGAAGTATCTTAATATAGATTAAACAGCAATCAAACAAAATTCTGTTTAGTGAAACCTTTTCAGGGTATAGCCGATGATCTGATTATATGTGGCAACATGACACAGCAAGGCTCCAAATTCTGTAAAAGAACTTGGGCATTTTCCTAGAATTAAAACAGGATCTGATCTGAATTTTTATATTTATGTATCTTAAAAACTATACATTTGTGGCCAGTATCATTAAAAGACTTCTGGAATTGTCCTGCATTGGAAATTAAAATGTATTACTTGGCTCTCAAACATAACTGAGTTTAATATTAAGTGTGAATAAGGTGATAGCTTTGTTCATAAATGCAAAATGCCTGTATGTTTACTATGAAACTCCTATTGTTGCTTTTTCTCTTTGCAGTGGTGGTCAAAATATAACTATCGTGGGCAGAAATTTTGACGTAATTGACAACTTAATCATTTCACATGAGTTAAAAGGAAACATAAATGTAAGTCTTCAGCTACCTTGTAATAATAGTAATTTTCAAGGATGATGTTGTTTTCATCACACGAACATCTCTTGGGGAATATCTTTTATTTCTGTGCCTTTGTGGTATTACAAGCTTTTACCTGTTGGGGGATATACACCATCTGGGCTATAATGGAAATAATAAGACCTTCTCCTTGCAGTGGAATATTTCCAATTGTGGTGCAGAGGAGAGAGGAATGAGCTTGGTATGACAAGGCCTCCCATTTCCGCCAGCTGGGCTTTGTAGGGAGGCACTTTAATGAGACAGCGTTTAGGAATACATGTGAAAATGCCTTGTGAGGGGCAAAGGTGAGATGTCCAGAAGAATAGCAGTTCTGTGCAGTCAGTGGTGAAGTTCCCATCGTGCCCACAGAGCTGTGGTGTGGAGGCCAAGTGACCTGCCCGAGTCCCAGAAATCTTGTCATATATTCCTCCTGCTCCTGCCGTTGTCTGGCTTGGTCCCTTTCCTTCTCACCTGGCCTCCTCTTACCTTGCATGTCCCCACACAAGGGTCTGGTCCCCAGCCCTTGTCCACTTGCTAACACCCACAGGAGTCACGGGAGGGCCTCGTCACACAAAATGATGCATTTCAGATACAGGTTGGGGCCTCCGAGTATACTCCTACACTCTTCTCGAATTCTCTCCCCATTCTCTCTTCCCCTTTCTCTCCTTCCTCAAAGAGATGTGAAGGTAGCAGCCTCTCCGGGCCCCACCTGACCACTTCCTGCCAAAGCTGGCTGGTCTGCCTGTGGCCACAGACATGGCCGTGCTTGGGACCAGTGTGGGTTTGGGCCTAGGCACAGACAGCCTTCCTGAGTCACCCAGCGCCAGTTCCAGGCCTCACCTTGTATCTGATTCTAGGCCACGTCTCCCCAATGTGAACACACACCGTTTTTTGGTTCTTCATATCGCCAGAAATGTGAACGAGCGATCCAGGGCTGGACAGGTGTTAAGGGGGAAGGAGGTTTTGTTTGTCTCAGCCCCTTGCATCAGATCTTCCCACCTATGGCCTCTTCCTACTCTCTCTTTTCTTTTTCTTTCTTTCTTTTTTTTTTTTTTAAAGATTATTTTATTTTAGAGAAAGAGAGAGAGCATATGGGGGTGCAGGGCAGAGGGAAAGGGAGAGAGAGAATCCCAAGCAGATTCCATGCTGAATACGGAGCCTGATGTGGGGTTCAGTCCCACAACCCCAAGATCATGACCCGAGCTGAAATCAAGTCAGACACTTAACCAGCTGAGGCACCCAGGCGCTCCCCTACCCTCTCTTTTTAACACCAATATTAGAAAGTAAAAAACAGGTAAACCCCCACCTGACAAATTTTTTTTTCACAAGTTTTATTGCTCGCTATTTATTTATTTATTTATTTATTGAGATTTATCTTTAAGCAAGCCATACCAAACGTGGGGCTCGAACTCCCAGCCCCATGGTCAAGAGTTGCACACTCCACAGACTGAGCCAGCCAGGCGCCCCTTATTGTTCTTCTTTAAGACCTTTGTCAACCTCTTCTTTTCCAGAGGCTTTCTCTGTCCATCTCTCTGCACCCCTAAAAATGACAGTATTTATGTTTGTTTTTTTTTAATAAATAAAGCTGTGAAGCAGGCCACACTCTCTGTATTCTTTCCAGCCTTCATGCTCCACATTTTCCTGGGGGCCCACATTGTCTCTTTTGCTTTTGTTTCCCTGATTTCCTGTTAGGCCTGCAAAACCTTTTCCTCACTTGGGGTCAGTGACTTCCGCTAAGCGCCAGGGGACGTTCCCCGACAAGGACGGATGCAGCCGGTGGTGGTGTGCAGCTCCCTGCGGCCTCCCTGGGGGGTGCTCCCCTCCCTGCCCGCATTTCCCAACCCACCTCGAGGGCTCCAGGACACACAGACCCTGCAAAGTCTTTGGTGCCGCGTGTCCCTCTTACGCTAGGCTCCTTCTCTCTGCAAATCCCTTCTCCATTGCATGACCTCTGGCTGCCCCCATTACCGCTAAGTGTGTTCACAGTGATAGCAGCTAGGGTTCCTTGAGTGCTGACTGGGTGCCCGGCATGATTCCAAGCATTTCTGCACATGTAATCCCATGTAAATTAGCCCCCATTTAGTTGAATGAGCCCTCATTGCATCTAATTTGATTTCGGGTTCATTCAGCCCTGTGAGGGGAGTGTAGGATCACTCTCCCCATTTTACAGATGAGAAATTGGGAGCACAGAGAAGTTCAGTTGTCCGGGTTACCTCGCTCCTCCATCGCAGGGCTGGGGCTCGGTAATGAAGTTCTTAAAAATGCTCTTTTCTCCTCCCTCAGGTCTCTGAATATTGTATGGCGAATTCCTGCAGGTTTTTAGCCCCCAGTTTAAAGAGTTCAAAAGCGCGTACAAACGTCACTGTGAAGCTGAGAGTCCAGGAGACCTACTTGGACTGCGGAAGCCTGCAGTATCTTGAGGACCCCAGGTTCACAGGGTGTCGGGTCGAACCCGAGGGGGACACAGAACTGGAAGTGAAAATTCAAGTATGTTTCTCACTTCCTTCGGGTGGGACACACCCCCCGCCTTGATGGGCAAGGTGTGCTTGTGTCTGTGGGTTCCCTTGGGCGCCCTCATTACTTCATCTCCTCTTTGTTCTTCACAGAAAGAAAACGATGAGTTCAACATCTCCAAGACAGACATTGAAATCACCCTCTTCCACGGGGAAAATGAGCAATTAAATTGCAGTTTTGAAAATATTACGAGAAATCAAGATCTCACCATCATCCTTTGCAAAATTAAAGGCATCAGTAACGCAAACAGCATTGACACCTCTTCCAAGAAAGTTCGCGTAAGTCACCTGACACTCCTACCTGTTGGTTGTACCTTATTTGGGACACTTCTCAGTGACACTGAAGCCAGAATGGCATCTGTTATGGATCTTTAGATCTTTGCTTTAAATAGCAGATAAACAAAGCTGCTGTTGCAGGCGCAAGTGTAATTCCTCCAAAAGAGCGGGTCGAATCCATCCATGTGCCCATTCGAATGTCAAAGCACTGAACATACCATTGTCTATAATACTAATGAGTCTTGATAGTTTTGTTCTAGCCATACATTTAGACCGTAGCACCTGCACACAGAATCTCTAGACCACGGACGAACGAGCTATCATTCTTTTGCCAAATGTAGGGATGACATGTCTTAGCGGAAACCCAGCACATTCAGAGTAGCATCCGATTCTGATGGAGACCAGATGATCTCTGGGCCGTGGGCTGCTTCCTCTGTCATGGAGTCATGCCGCAATTCATCTCCTCCTGACATGTTTGAGGGTCCCATCAGAGGTATATTTATGTCCCACAATAAAGATGTGAGACCCTTGGGAACAGAACCATATTAGAAGTCTTTCTTTATGGTGTTCATGCCATATGAGGCTCTCCACAGTCTATACCCCCCCAAAATGCTTTATGATCTGTAGTCATAAATATTGAATAAAAGTCAAGAAAAAAGAACATCAGACTGTAAGACCAAAAAAAAAAAAAATGTGTTCATGTCTCAGCTGCACCAGCTAATAGCTGCATGGCCTTAGGTAAGTCGCTTGGCTTGGCTGAGCCTCCAGTGGTCCATCTGTGTGATAAAGAGGGTACTAATTATTATCAAATCAGTAACACAGCTGAACTCACAAGTGCCCCCACATGTCACACCGGGTGAGGAGAGTAACGCTAGCAATCTCTAGTTGTGAAATGGTCCCTGAGGGCCTCTTCTATGATGGGAACACAGCGGAGAAGAAAAGAGACCCCAGGTTCTGCCTTTGTGGGGGTTACCTAAAGACACATGGAGTGAAGAAAGTAAATGAAAATGTGTGAGGTGGTGGTGATCGCCATGGAGAAGCATGAAGCAGGGACAGGCAGTGCTGCAAGGTGTGCAAGGGTGGGCAGCCAAGGTCTATCTAGGAAGATGACATTTGAGTAAGGACCTCAAGGAGGAGAGGGAGTGAGCCATGGGCTCTCTGGGGTAGAGGGTTCTAGACCTGCAGGTTTAACATGAGGAGCAACAAGGATGCCAGTGTGGCTAGAGCAGAGGGAGCAAGGGGGAATATTCAAGGAGGCTGGAGAGTTACCGGAGGGAGCGAGGAGCCGGGCGCCTGGGTGGCTCAGTCAGTTAAGCATTTGCCTTCAGCTCAAGTCATGATCAAGTCCCACATCGAGCTCCCTGCTCAGCGGGGAGTCTGCTTCTCCCTCTGCCCCTCCCCCCTGCTTGTGATCTCTCTCTCTCACTCACTCTCTCTCTCTCTCTCTCTCCAATAAATAAATAAAATCTTGGGGAAAAATTTAAAAAAAAAAAGAACATGTGAGCCATTGCGAGGGCTTGGCTTTGAGCTCTGGGAAGCCACTGGAGAGTTTTGGGAGGACTGCCATGAGCCACTCACTCAAATGATGAAGTACATTTAGTCTTCACGACAACCCTAAGAAGAGGCACTATCTACATCCCACTTTAGAGATGAGGAAAGTAAGGATGGGATGGCTGAGTTAAACCCCTAGGGCAAGGAGAACTCAATTCTAAAATCTCCAGGTATAGTCCAGTGCACCTCAACTGTGACATATCTGAAAATCAAGGCACGGTGAATGTTCTCAATGTGCTCAAGTTCACAGAGCCAATCTGCCTGAGCTGGGACTTGAATTCATATATCCTACCTAGCTTGTCACCTTTTTGTATCTTGGGGAAAACAATTTGGAGGAAAAAGTGTGTACATAAATATGGCGCCCAATTCAATTGAGTCTAATGACTTTCTGTCCCATTAGGTCAAACTGGGAAACTTGGAGCTCTACGTTGAGCAGGAAACAGTTCCAACCACTTGGTATTTTCTGATTGTGCTTCCCGTCTTGCTAGTGATTGTCATCTTTGGTAAGTGCCCTGTTTGATTTTGTCAGAGAAATGATTCCCTGGGGCCTCTCGTCAGGCAGGCAGACTCTCAGCTTTCAGGGGCTGTTTGCCTCAGTTGAGTATTGATGGGTAAAAACCCAAATCACAACTTTGGGAAAGGAATCATAGGTACACGTTGAGGGCTTTCTAACCATTTTTTAGGATTCCTCATCGATACAAAGCTGGATTGCAAAGATGGCGTCTTGGTGTTTGAGAAATATAGTCCAACTCACTTCCCCAGTACTGTGAATGGCGATTACAAATCTCCCATTTACGTTATTCCTTCAGAATTCCTCTGGCATTTTGGACTTTCACAATCTGGTCATCTCCTCCTGCCTTCTCACCTCACCAAACACCACCCCCTGCTCCCACCCCAGCTCTGCTTTTCCTGGCAGAACTATGTTTTAGAAGCGTGATTTGTACCATCTATTAAAATATCGCAAGGCTCATCCGAGCACGATGATCCCAGGGTGGTTGCCCGCGGGCTGAATCTGGCCCAACAATCTGTTTTGTTTGGCCCGCACAGCATTTTTTTTTTAAACTGTGAACTAGTTGACGGCATTTTAAAATTAGGTGAGTCGCCTATGTTCTACACCTGAAATCAACGTAACATTTGTGTCCGCTGTACTTCAGTTAAAAAAAAAAAAGTTGATTCACATTTTTAAAAATATCTCTTGAAAATTTGAAAGCTCTGGATCATTGGATCTCCACTTTTCCATAGCATCGGTTTCCTGGAACTGAATGACAGCAGCCCCTTGAGAGAGCATGTGGGCGCTGGGGTTTTGCTCAAGTCCCCACCACTCCCTGTTTGTCTCCACCTGGGCCACATGACTCATCTGCCTACCTGGTCCCTGTAGCCATTTAGTGTGCGACCTGGTTCTGAGCAGCTTTTCATCCAAAGTCTGGTTCCTCTTGTCCATCTCAGAAATAGAACTCCTCTCCACCAGCTAAGAGAACACTTCACATACGTTGATTTAACACAGGTGTTGCCTTTCCAACGCTCTGTTACTAGTTGCTCCTGTTCCCTTCCATGCACTCCTTCATTCATCCATCCCCGCATCCACTTACCTTGTGTCTATGAACACACGTTGTGTTGCTGATAACTGCGCAAGCCTCCGGAGCTGGACAGCATGAGGGAAGGCCTGGCCCTTTCTCCTGGCGGGTTCTCAGTCCAGAGAGGGAAAGACTTCTGTGTGTGATGAACTGGCCCAATGGAATGAATTCATTTTGCAGAGGCCCTCTTTTGCCCTGCTGATGATCATTTCAGGTATTTTCTTGTGCTGCTTCTCCAGTTGACCACCCCTGCTCTATAGCTGGAATCCAGAATTGGGCTTGATATTTTAATAATGTTCTGGCTGGCACTGGCTTCGAGTAAGAAGATTACTTATAAATTCTAAATGCTGAGCTCTATTTTGAGAATCTGCTAGTGTTAAGCAGCTATAGACACCAGTCTCCCCATAGAGTCCTCTCCACTTTGTGACTTACTAGAAGTCTCTGATCTCTTCTTGTGCCGTGTGTGACTCACCCCTCCCGTCCCCACACTGTCATAGAGACTGTTTGTGCTTTTTATGGTGAGGTGGGCTCAGTTTGACCCATGGCTTTGGCTTCATTGGTAGCTGCCCTTTAAAATTCTCATCCCCTTCTTGCCATGATTCCAGGCCAGCATGTGTGACCAGAAGCTTGAGCAGGTGTAAAGTGTACAAATATTTTAACCCATCTGTCACGTCATTAGTGAAAACACAAAGCACCCTGGCCTAGGCCTGCCACCTTCTAAACATCCCCACTGTGGCTTCCCCTGGAGACGTCAGCCATCAAAAACCCACTGCTGGCTGGATGTGGCTGCCTCATTCCCTTTGCCTGCCCTGAGCCCCTGTAGCCTGAAGTGTGGCCCAAGGAACGCTAACCCCAAATCACGCTCCCGGAGAAAGGGGTTCCGTGGTCACATAAATTTGGAAATCACTGTGCGTCCCACCCTTTTTTGAAGATGCACAATGCATGTTATGGTGAAGACTGTTGACTTTGTGAAATGGTCCAGTGAAGAACCCTACTGAGTTTTGTTTCCTCCAGGATCATTTGTATCTACTGGTAGTGGGTCCTTTTATCATGAAGTTGCTGTTAAAGGAGGAAAATCTTTTCCAGAATAATAATGTAGTTGACAGTTGTTGAATATTCTTTTTAAAGAACAACTTCTGAATGCTTTCTGTGGGTTGCTTCTTGCAGTCCTCTCAACATCACAGTGAGGTGTGGGCCCTTTGACAGATAAGGCAACCGGGCACAGAGATGCTAAGGAACTTACTTGAAGTCACACAGCTCATAATTGGCAGAGTGGGGATGTGAACCGAGTACCAAGCCTGTTCAGGGCACTGTCTCAGTTAGAAGCACAGTTAGAAGCAAGACGAAGTGGGGAAAGAAGCCATGTCCCAGATCCGAGGGTTCATTGTGGACCTCTCCCCATATCAGCCAACTTGATCTATGCAAGTTTGGCTTACAGAGCGTGGATCTGTGATTTCCTTCTGCAATTGTGGCTCAGCTTTATTTCTCCAGGGATGTTTAGAAACATTGAAAAAAGAACGGAACAATATCAGCGGCCTGTGGCTGCAGGGAAACGTGGCTTATTTCATTACTTTTCAGCCAGCTGGGATCTTTGGTTACAAGTGGAGGTTATTTGATTTAGTTTTTACTTTAAGGTGGGTAGTTTTTTGTTTTCCTGTTGCGCTTTAGCATCTTCCTCTTTAGAGTGTCCCCTCACTGGGAATTTTTCCTTTTATAAATTCCACCTCTTAAATGCTGTTCTTTCTCTCTCTTCCTCTGTCTCTCTCTGTAAAAGAAATGTCAAGGTTGACTTCGTTTTCCTTTTTGTTTTTGAAGTTAACATGTCAATCTGACACTAGATCTCTGTCTCCTCAGCGGCCGTGGGGGTAACCAGGCACAAATCGAAGGAGCTGAGCCGCAAACAGAGCCAACAGCTGGAGCTCCTGGAGAGTGAGCTCCGGAAAGAGATACGTGATGGTAGGCTCCAAAATTTTATTTGTGGAAAAACAAGCCTTTTTTTTTATCATCTCCCCCCGCCCCCAAATGGAGCTGGCCACAGTAATGAGAACTGTTTGTATAATAGAAGACATCTGAGCGGCAGGGTCTAGGCCTGGCTCTGTGTTTATTCCAGCCCTGCTCTGCAGCCAACCAAGTAATTATCTCTTGTTTCTTCTTTAATGAAAACCAAGGTCATCCTCCATGTTAGACAAAACAGCAGAAGATCTTATCCATTGTTTGTTGAGTTAAAGTATTGCTCTTGGGATTCTGTTTTGCAGGCTTTGCTGAGCTGCAGATGGATAAATTGGATGTGGTTGATAGTTTTGGAACTGTTCCCTTCCTTGACTACAAACATTTTGCTCTGAGAACTTTCTTCCCCGAGGTAAAAGAGCATTGATCATATTCCTAAGGTTGAGTCTTGAATAATAACGAAGGTGCTTGTTGCTGCCGTCAAAACAGGTGTTTGCTTCCAAGGTGGCTGTAGATAGTGTGCTTGGTGCGAAATAAGGGCTTACGTCTGAGCAGAGCTGGGAGAAGGGTAATTATTAATTGGATTGATTAGGGTATAAAGCAGTGATGGGTCACTGACGATTATTCTTTGTCCAGTAACAAAAACCTAGGAGGGACAGAAGATCAGAGTGATGATTTTTGTTTTATTTTACTACCTGTTTAGAGCTGAATTTGTAGTTGGGAAGCAAGCTAGTTCATTTAAAAATCAATAAATTGTGGGCTGGCCAAGTTGTTGTGTTTATCTGCATGACTTCCATTGCAGCTACTAGATTATTCACTATTATTTCTCAGTTGGAAATGAAAAGTACTATGGGCCGAGAGGGAGGGAGGGAGACATGTATAGACTTTGAGTTGATAGCAGCCATCTTTAGCAATGTTGAGTTCTTAATGGTTCTCTCCAGCAGTTGTTCTTCTGCTGTCAGTCCATATCATCCTCATTTAGCAGAAATAGCTGCACGAAATGATTGATTAACCCATCCTGGGACTCCGAGGAGCAGTCTCCTTTAACCCTTTGGGTTTTCAGTCTCGCTCTGTTCTGACACCTCCATCTTCTCCCCTACCCACTCAACCTTCCTCCTTTACACTCCCAAGTCTTGAGCAAAGGGCACTCATTTGCCTGTCATCACCTCCACATCCTGATGCCCCCACTTCACCATGCTGCCCTTTTTTGTCCAGAACTGGTGACCACAGAGGGGCCCAACCTCTGGAACATCAACACAGATGATCATATTTCAGTCTAGACTTCTAAGCAAAGCCAGGTCAAAACAGAGCTGGTATCACCTTACCAGAAGCTTCTCAGCTACATTTGGCCAGAAGCCTAGAGTTCAGAAACACAGACACATGCAGTAAGCAATTTCCAGGTTCTCTATAATTCTAGAAGCAGACACCATGATATGTGATGCTGTGTCTGGAGGTTGGGATACCTCCATAAAACACCCGCCATATATATATATATACATATATATATTGTATATATATGTACAATATATATTTTGGTCCAAGCCTTACTGTTGTAAATCAAGAAGGCTATAAATAAGACTTCAGTTTTTTGTGCTTGTACAATATACTTTTTTAAACTTCTCCTCCAAGAGTACCAGGCAGCAAGACTTGTATTTGCCACCTCATCTATCCATTTCTACAGCAGAACACTACCTAGGGAGGGAGGTCAATTCCCTGAATCAGGATGACTATGCAGGACATCATGAGCCTATTTCTCAGCTATCTGAGATCCCCATTAAGAATTTAATAGCAATAAAACAACAGAGATTTCTACCATCAACATGAGGCTTGTGTGGGCTTTTACAGTTAATGATTGCCCTTGAGTGCTGAAGAGAGTAATCTGTGGCCTGAAAAAGAAATTGTCCTATATTCTAAATTCAGTAATCAAGAGCAAGATAAGTGATGAAGGCAAAAGACACTATTGCAAGTTGAGTGTTTTGAGGGGAAAAAAAAAATCCCAGGAAAAATGCTGTATTATTTTAGAAGAGAGATATAGTTGACCCTTGAACAACGCAGGTATGAACTGCATGGGTCCACTTACACACGGATTTTTTTTTTTTTCAATAAAACTACCGTCCTATAAATGTATGTCCTCTTCCCTATGATTTTATTAATAACATTTTCTTTTCTCCAGCTTACTCTATTGTAAGAGTACAGTATATAATACAGAAAACTTATAAAATATGTGTTAGTTGACATACAAAAGATGTGTTCATTGGTAAGGCTTCTGGTCAGCAGTAGGCAATATATTAGTAGTTAAGTTTTGGGGAAAAGTTACATGCCAATTTTCGACCGCACAGAGGGTCAGCGTCCCTCACCTCCCCCCCCCACCCCACCGCCGCATTGTTCAAGCCAAACAGACTTAACTCAGGGTTATGAATAATCTTGAACAGCAACTGAGAAAGCCAGGAAAACTGAAGTCAGTAAACAAGAGGAGTGGAAAAACAGGCGTAACTATCAGAACCCTAGCAAGACCTAAGTTAAATTCGAATTTATAATGCAAGATATAGAGGACGGAGGAGCATAGTCTGTGATGACAGCACCAGCTGAAATGCTTTCTAGGCTGCAGATCCGTCCTTGTGTCAATTAGGCCCTTTACTGATGGATCAGGAGCCACATCCTCTAGGCCTGGAGGTCGGCTGGTAGACCGAGAACTTGAGCAGTCAACACCTACCGGACAGCAGTAGACAGAACCAGAGGAAATTGTAGGTTCACAGAGGCCAAGATATTCCCAATTACTGGCTCTGTACCAGTTTTTGGTTCTCCAAAGCCTGCCTTTTCATTGTATTGACTGCATTGTTTTGCTGAAAATAGGAGGAGAAATAAGGGTGAGCAAGGCATCCTATCTCCTAGAAGAGGGAAATTTAAATGAAAGGAGGAAGGAGCTTTAGAAAACAGGGAGCCATGGTGGCATTTCTCTATGTAAGGTCAGGACTCAATCTGTTTAAACGGTCTGTCCATATCAAGTTGGTTCAGCAGAAAAATGTCAGGAACTAGAAAATGCAAACCCAGGGTATGATTTTTCTGCATATTACTAAGGGAGAGTATGACCAAAATAGTTTGAGGTCTTCTGCTTAGGCTAACAGATTTGAAACTATAAAGCAAAAATTCTCTGCAGAAGAAATTTACTTTAACGAGGTATAAAAATAGCCTAAAGTTTCAAATATTACCCCCAAAAAAGAGGAAGAGAAAAACCTGAATGTTCAAGTTTTTATTTTCATTCTGTTGACTCATTTAAAGTGTTACTCATGCTTTTAAAATTTAATCCTTTAATTCCAAGAAGACTTATGATACATTAAAAAGGGAAACTCGAATTGAAAAGTCTATATCCAGGAGCAACATAGCATAGCACATAAAAATAATTGTAGAAGCCAGCAGGACAATAACTTTGTGATCTAGTTTGCCATAAGTTAGTGATAAAAGCAATAAACATAGCTGAGATAGAACTTACTGTGCACGTGTGCATCTTCTTTTCACACCAAGCTTAGGAGATGGGAGTCGGTGGTGTCCTCATTTTGAGGATGAGCAATGTCAGGCACAGAGAGGTTACATAACTTGCCCAAAGTCATGTGACCAGTAGGTGCTAAAACCAAGAGTGAAACCCAAGTAATTTGGCTCCAGATTTCTAACTTTTAACCACCCAGCTCACCCCGTCTCCATAACATTGTCTCTTGAGACAGTGGATACTACTAAGCTAAGGCTTGTAAAAACTTACGGACACAACTCAGTAATTATCCCGAGAGGGCAAACTGCTTAAGGAGGGGTCTGCACATTCGCATAATCTTCTTTACCACTTCTTTCACTTTTGAGTCTGTTCTTTGAAAGTGTGAGATGCCTTCCTCTACTAAAAATGGGACTGATGCAGTGATAATGATTCTTCTTAGAGGTTTTCAGAATTCACCGGTGCTTCTTGAGAGCTGAATAATTATTTATTATGTATTAGAGGATATAAAATGAACATAAGCCCAGGGGCCCTTCAGATTAGCAAACAGTGTCTCTACTTTATTAAAACGGACTTGGGTATTGTAACAAAAATACACTATTCATTTCCTTTGGATGTTATGAATAATAAAAGTGTCTCCTTCCTCTCAGTCAGGTGGCTTCACACACATCTTCACTGAAGATATGCATGTAAGTCTATAAGTTTTCATTTTTAGCCCATGACTGCCTGACTTTCATAGTGTCCTCATTGTCATCATCATCTCCATTATTGAATTTTTGTGAGTTTTTTTGGAATCATGGATTCAATATTAAATCATTGTCTTGGAAAACCCATTGTGGATCTACCTCCTAACTTTAAGTTTCTAATATTATATCATGTCATATCGTATCATATCATATTCATTTTTTTTTTCCAGAACAGAGATGCCACTGACAAGAATGAAAGTCTCACAGCTTTGGATGCCCTGATTTGTAATAAAAGTTTCCTTGTTACTGTCATCCACACCCTTGAGAAGCAGAAGAACTTTTCAGTGAAGGACAGGTATTAGTCAATTTATTTATATTTTGAAAGTCTTTAAATAGAGAAAATAAAAACGTGTGCTCCTTATTTCCAAACTGCAACCTGAACCTGGTATCTACATCCCTTGAAAACGTGGATTTATCCAGAGGCCGTCTGGTCGGGGTCATGAGGTCACGATAGCTCTACTTCGGATCACACGACCCCAACACATATTCTGTTTTGAAGACACACACATACCCTCCTCCCCCACAAAAAAAGCCCTGAAAAACCCCAACACCAAGAAAAAACATGAGTCCTGAATCAAAAAAGCAGAAGTGCTATTTTCTATCTTTAAAACACCTAAAAATTTGGGAAAGACATTCACTTCTTGTTTACCACTCTAGTTTAAAGTCTAAGAGCTGAAAACACATAAAATGTCCTGGGGTGAACACTGGTGCATGGTTTTTATGAATTGAGGACAAAGGTGGTTGACCTAAGACGTTAAAAAAACACACATGCCCACAGGAGAGCACCCCACTGCCCCTCAGTTTCCGTGGAAACTCCCATCAGCATCAACTTAGCCATGGCTGATAGTTAACCTCATTAACCGAGAGTCTTTTTTTATGTGCTTCTTTGTCATCTGTATATCTTCTTTTTTTTCCTCTCTCTCCGTTTTATTGAGATGGAATTGGCATATAGCACTGTAGAAGTTTAAGGTGTATGGCATAATGATCTTCCTTACACCTAGTGCAAAATGATGACCATAATGAGTTTAGTTAGCATCCATCATCTCATACAGCTACAAAAAAAAAAAAAAGGAAAAAAATGAACTTTTAAGATTTACTCTCTTGGAACTTTCAAATTATGCAGCAGTGTTAACTGTAGTCACCATGTTATACATTATATCCCTAGCATTTACTTCTCTTTTAATTGGAAGTTTTTGTATTTTGTCCACCTTCCTCCAACTCCCCCTCCATTCTCCACCTCTGGTAACCACAGATCTGATCTCTTTTTCCATGAATTTGGTTATTTTTCTTTTTTCTTTTTAGATTCCACATATAAGTGAGATCATACGGTATTTGTCTTTCTCTGACTTAATTTAACATACTGCCTGCAAGATCCATCCATGTTGTGACAAATGGCAAGATTTCATTCTCTTGTGTGGCTGAACAGTATTCTGGTGTGTGTGTGTGTGTGTGTGTGTGTGTGTGTGTGAACACACATATACCACATTTTCTTTATCTGGCCATCTGCTAATGGACAGTTGGGTTGTTTTGATGTCTTGACTATTGTAACCAAGGCTCTGTTTTTCAATAGGTGTCTGTTCGCCTCCTTCTTGACCATTGCACTGCAAACCAAGCTGGTCTACCTGACCAGCATCCTGGAGGTGCTGACCAGGGACTTGATGGAACAGTCCAGTAACATGCAGCCTAAACTCATGCTAAGACGCACGGAGTCTGTGGTAGAAAAACTCCTCACAAACTGGATGTCCGTCTGCCTTTCTGGTTTTCTGCGGGTAAGTGTCACCTCGCTTGGTAGTGTCAGAGGTAAGACAATAGGTGGTTATTTTTAGCAGATGCTGATGTCTTTGCCAGGATAAGTCCTGAGCACTCCATGGTGTCAGCATTTAACCTCTTTTAGACATGGTCCTTCCTAGGAGCACGTGGAGGGGAAAATAAAATTGTTTTTGCTGTAACTGGCCTATGCAAATGCAGTTCATTTAGACGTTTTTCTCTTTTAAACAATTTTATTGCGGTAAGAACAATTAACATGAAACCTCCCCTCTTACCAGATTTTTAAAGGGTGCAAAACAGCGTTGTTATCTGTAGGCACAATGTTGTACAACAGATTTCTAGAACTTATTTATCTTGCATAACTGAAATTTTATACCATTGACTTTTGAGCCCACCTTGACATCATTAATAGACAACCAGAGCCCAGGAAATGTGCTGAGTGGAAGGGGTATTTCAGATATTGAAGAGAACGCAATGCTTGCAGGGTCTCTGAAGCATCTTGGAAATACCCATTTACCTACTAATACTGGAAGCTAATTAAACTCAGTTCTAACTAGTCATTCCACATTATTCCGTTTGTTTAGCAATCCCCAAAGAGCCACCCATCCCTCGAGTTTCCTTTGTTGGGGTTATTGCATGAATGTGGTTGTAGTCTGATTGAATCTTAAAATTATTTTTGAATGCCAACTTGGCGTGGATCCAGCGGGTAAGGAAGTGGGTCTTGGAGCCCACTGCCTGGTCTGCATCTGGACCCCGTCACTCACTAGAGGAGGCTTCCGCACCTATCTGAGCCTTGGGTTTATAGCCTGGAGCACTGGAAGAAGACTATCTTAGGGCCGCTCTGAAGCCTAGAGGAGAAAATGGAGACAGTGGCTTAGCACCAAGTAAACACTCCATCAACGTTGACCGGTACTGTTCTAAAATATTAATAGGACAAGAAGAGTGTTCTGTTGAACCCGATCTTCGTTCAGCCCCTCTGAGGCCCCTGGTACAGAAGGTTCTTATCCTTCTTTAATTTCACCAGCCATCCAGATTCCAGCAAAACTGCCTAATTGTGTGTTTGTAGCTAGTTCCAAAATCTAATTAAGCTTTGAATAAGATACACTGCTATATGCCACAGGTTTTAACAGTGCGACTTAAGTTTAGATCCAAGAGCAGCACTTTAAATAGACTGTGCTTAGTTTAATGTTTAATGCAATCTTACAAGTAGATGCACAACATGTTTTTTTTTTTTTTACCAATGCCTTCCTCTCCCAAGGCACTACCCATTTATTAAGATTAATGAAATCTGCCTTATTTTCTGTTTACTTGGTATAAATCATCATACGCTTTGGGGAGGTGTTGAGCAGTTATTTCTGGGGCGAATATTTTCGCTTCCCACCATCCTTGCTTCAGCCACAACTGCATCTAAACAGAGGCGGCAGGACCCACACCCAGTTCTGGGTCTTAGTCTTGGAAGTCAGATTCCTGCCCTACCAATGCCACTGAATCAGAAGCCTGGGCGGTGGGGCCCGAAAATGCACGTTTGCCAAGCTCCTCCAGGTAATTGTATGTGCCTTACATTTGAGAATCCTGGGGTAGTAGAAAGAGCACTGGACTAGGAGTGTTGGTTAGAAGCAGCAGGTTCCGGCTCTAAAGTCATCTCAGCCCCAGTTAGCTGTGTGTCTCTGGCCCTTTTCCTCTGGGCAACTGTTATCTACTCATGGAGTGAAGAGCTTAGTCACCGGTTTTAAATTTCTCCCCAGCTCTTTCTTGGGGGATCTTGTGGTTGGAGACTTGCCCTTGCTGCCCTTGAGCCTTAAATGGGTGCGATGTTCCAAAAATCTGGGCCCTAAGCCCAAACGGCTCCCTCCAGCAGAGGATTCTGGGTCAAGCTTTTGCAGTGCTGATTCAAGAGTATCTTGAGCACTTGCGATGGCGAGGGGTGGCACGCTTACCAGGAGGAAGTGACCGTGAGCCGGCCAGAGATGCTTTCAGTTTCTGTGGAAAAATTCCCTCTGGTGCAGGGGGTCTGACTTCCCACACCGGGTGCCCAAGGAGATGTGGGACTCGGACAGCCTTGGTCCTCCTGCCCTGTCCCACAGACATTTGCCTAGATGCCACTAGCTCTGTGACCCCCAGGTAACCTCCTCCTCAGAGCTTCCAGGGCTCTGTGAGTGAAGTAATAATACCAACTGTCTTTACTGAGCATGCCAGATATTATGTGAAGAGTTTTGCTTACTTTTCTCACTGAATCCTCTCATTTGATCCTGCGAGGTAAGGATCGTTATGACCATTTTGCACTGGGGGGATTGGGAGCACGCAGAATGGATGTGCCTTCCGCCAGATCCCACAGCGGGCATGGGATGGCACCAGGGTTTGAGAGCTCCTAGCTACTACCTCCCCAGTGAGGCAGGCACCTTCTTATGGGCTTAGGGAGGATTTAGGGATGGATCGAGATCACAGGCATGAAAGCCTCTGGCTGAGCCAGGGCCAGAGTCCGGTCTCACAAAGGAAAGGAAGGTGAAGGGGCCGAGCTTAGTTCCCATCCCAGGAGAGGGAGGGTAGGCGTGGTCCGGTCAGGTGCACTTGGCCACAGCCAGCCACCCGAGGAGCTGAGTGTTCCCTGCTCTGTAAGACACCTAAGCCCCCAGCAGGTATGACTGAGGACTCGTGTTCCATAGTGACAGAGAAACTTCATGGTTTTCGAAGCTGGCCCCATATCAGAATCCCCTGGGAAGGTGTTCAAACCACAGATGCCCAGGCCTCGGTTCCAGACGTTCCGGGTCTGTGGGTCTAATGGAGGGTCCAGGCATCTGAATTTTTTATGGGAGCCCCAGGGAATTCTGGTAATGATTACCCAGGGTTAGAACCGTGGGTGCGGGTAACAGTATAAGACAAAATATCACTTCTCTCAGTCTGGCTGCACTCTGGAGAATTCTGGGGAATTCCTGACTACAGAGCCAGTGAGTCTGTAGCTGCCCTTCCACACAGCCCGGCAGAGCCCACCTGGCCCCCAACTGTACCCTCGGTGGCCCATCCAGCCCACAAGGCTCACGAGGACACTCACCCCTGTCTCTGATGTGTGCTGGAGGGAAAAGGAGAAGTAGAAGTTCTGGGTTTGCAGTCGGGACATTACCCCAGAGGGCAGAGGGAAAGAGAAGAGAGCAGTGTGGTTGTGAACCACTAAATAAAGGATATTTCCCATAAGAATTAAAATGTCAGGCTCTAGTCCCAACGCTCTCCCCATCTGGGAAATTTTCGAACATTCCACCTCTGTCCTACACTAAGGAAGAGACTCAAGGATATGTCAGCAGGGAAGAGAAAAAGTGGTGACTATCCCACGCCCGCTGTGGGATCAGGGGAAAATCACAGCTATTCCGTGTGCCCCAGCTCCCCCTCTGTGCAAAATGGTCATAACGATACTTACCTCACAGGATTAAATGAGAGGATTCAATGAGAAAAGGTAATGGGAAAAGTGACGGGAAGCCAGTGGAGAGTGGGGTGGCAGAAGGGGGCCGAAGGGAGCCCTGGGACTGGGGAGGGCACATGTTCCTGCAGGGAGGGGATGGGACAGGCGGTGGGGAGGGGGGGATGCCAGGAGTCTTACATGAGGTCTCCATTTACTTGGTCAGGGCAAAGCAGGGGAGAGAGCTAACGGAACCCTCCTTTGCAAGCTAGGCCGTGAAGCTTGGCTGGAAACGGTGCTTCCAGCCTCAGTCGCTTGGCTGGCTTCTTCATCACGAAGGGTCTGACTTCTGGCCCTAGCTCTCCCTCTTCCACATATTTGGTTAATGTCCGTTGATTGTAGACACTGATTACCTGGCAGGTGTGTTGCTGCCGACCCAGGGCTGCATGCTCTGGGCGGCTTCCGTGGCAGCAGAACACCCAAGCGTCCCCCGTGAGCTGCTCAGAGTCCACGCAAGTGCAGTGTGGCTACAGGTTTGAGGCATCTCATGAACCATGAGCGGGCGAGCCCCGGTCGAGGAGTAAGTGCCCATGGCAGAAGTTTGGAGACAGACGCCATCGGGATGGGCCGAATCCTGGGGACAAGCCTTCAAGCAATGGACTTGGCTCTGGTCCAGGGAAAGGAGTTCAAGTGCATCAGTGGCCGCGTACCAGCCAAGGTGCACAGACGAGGTGCCCAGGGGTGTCTGTGCACGCCCAGCTCTGCAAACCACAGCGAGCTGGCCGGGATGGCTGCAGGTTGTGGTCACTAAAGGCCACTTCCTTCATTAGAAGCTCTTAACACCAAAAAGCATCCTCCTTGGCAAGTGTACAAAATGTTCTGACATTTATTCTGGTTACCAAGGCTAATTGTTGTGTATTTTTTTAAATGCCATTTATTTTTGGTTTGCTCAAAAAGGCAATTAAATAGGAATATAAACGAAGGTTAAACCTCTGCATCTACTCTAGGCATTAGCCAGCTGATGAGCATCAGTCTGCCATATAGAAGCTGAAACATAAAAGAACCATCCGCTGAGGATTTCTTGTTGCTGTTGGCTGTAAATGCTGGGAGTCTATGCGCGGGCACGGGTGTGCGTGCATGTGTGTGTGTGCGCGCGTGTGCGCGGGCGTGCACCTGCGCAGGTGGTGGGAGAGGCCACGTCTCCTGAGTTTTGCGCCCAATCCTGAGCGGAGCAGTGTGTATTTTCTTGGGAGTCTCATGTTGATTGTTAGAAAACATTGCCGCCTGCCTCCTGTCGCACTGCCATAAACTGAAACTTTAACTCTTTGGAAAGTACAGTGGCTTCCGCAGACAGCTGACTTTCACTTTTGTGTCTCTTCCAAGGAAACTGTTGGAGAGCCGTTCTATTTGCTGGTGACGACTTTGAACCAGAAAATAAACAAGGGTCCCGTGGATGTAATCACTTGCAAAGCCCTGTACACCCTGAACGAAGACTGGCTGCTGTGGCAGGTTCCAGAGTTCAGTACTGTGGTATGTTCGCGATGAAGCCTCCCCCCAGCCCCGGAAAGAAGCCTGGCTGGGAGCTCGGTGGCGGGGTGGGGGCAGGGGGGTCACTTAAAACAAAGCGATATCATTCCTACTGCGGGAGGCCTCAGACGATGAGTTAATTAAAAACAGTAGTTGATAAAATATTAACACGTGTTCACATAATAGATTTTAATTACTTGGTTGGGGGGAGAGAATTGTAATGATGCCTGGGGTACTCATCAATTTCCAAAGATTTTAATATCAGGATAGCTTATAGCTTTTCAGCATCGTCAAAGGAAATGCAAAGCACTCCCTATTCAGCACTTATAATTGCAATCAGAATTTCTCAAACGGCTCTGCTTTGGAAGACAATGTGTGAAGATATATTTCAACCAAATTGAGGCCGTCTTATTTTAGAACGATAACACAAGACAAATTCCACTGTGTTCCCCGTGCAATATGACACCCTTACTTTATTTTCATGGATTAGTTACAAATGTTTGGTGTCACGCACTTAATGTTCTGTGATCTCATAGATATTTTTAGAGGAACGCTGTAAATCACTACAGGAAGATGATTGCCTGGCTGCTGGAGGGTTTCACCCATTCGAGAACTTCTTTTCACCCATCCCCATCCCACCCCCACCCCCTTCCCTTCCTAAAGGAAGAGAGAGCAATTTCTTGCACATTCACGAATTGTAGAGAGAGGGCCAAGCGTGACAAGTGTCTCCAAAATTACTTAGGCATTTTCTGTGCTTTTCCGTTCATAGAGACTGGGGAAAGAGATCGCTGTCATTTGGTTTGATCCTTAGCCTTATGGAGACTCGGGGCTTCTTCACAATCTTGTTAGTGGAGGAGGAGGGAAAAAAGACAGTGGGGTTTTGGGATTACTCAGTAAGGGGGCTGAGTCTCCTGTGGCTTAGCTCTGGACGGCGAGACCCGTGGTATCATCCTAGAAGAATTCATTCCCTAATTGCAGAAGGCACCATGTCGCTGTGGGCTGTGTTATGGTTATGTGCTCTGGTGGGAGAATAGTCCACAGCAGCTGTTTCCAGTTCTAGGTCACTGCCAGATGTAGTTTACCCTCCGCTGAAGACAGTACCCTGCTCAGCCGCCATCCACAAGCCAGGAGCCTGAGTAGAAAGTTAACATTTCTTATGTTCTGATTTCTGTGTATGTAACTGTCTATGGCCGAGAGCTGGTGAGGAGCAGTGGTTCTCAAACTAGCATGCAGCGGTGAAGAGCACAGACTCTGGCCGGGCACGCTTGCAATCCACCCCTGCCCATCTGTGTGACATGGGGCAAGTTTCCAAACCTCCCTGTGCCTCAGGGTCCTCGCCTGTAAAATGGGGAGGATGATCACTGTGCGGGTTTCATGGCGGCATCACAGCGGTTAAGAGCATTGACTGCCGGGCGCCTGGGTGGCTCAGTCGTTAAACGTCTGCCTTTGGCTCGGGTCATGATCCCAGGGGCCTGGGATTGAGCCCCACATCGGGCTCCCTGCTCAGTCGGGGGCCTGCTTCTCCTTCTCCCTCTGCCTGTCCTCGTTTTGGCTCAGGTCATGATCTCAGGGTTGTGGGATCGAGTCCTGCATCGGGCTCCATGCTGGGCATGGAACCTGCTTGGGATTTTCTCTCTCTCTCTCTCTGCCTCTGCCCCTCCCCCTGCTCTCATGCACGCACATGCTGTCTCTCGCTCTCTTTTTCTCTCTCTCAAAGAAATAAATCTTTAAAAAAAGGAAAAAGAAATGCAGATCCAGACAAACCAATGCCTGGGTCTTCCGTCGGGACTGATGAAATCAGAACTGCTGGGGACGAAGGCCAGGCATAGACAGACATTTCTTAAACACCCCAGGTAGTACCGAGGATGTACAGCGTGCGTGGAGAGGGCCCCTGGGTATCTTGGAGAATGAAAGACAAACTTTGCATCAGGGCTTGTTGATACCTTTCCCTACGATTGTTGGAGGACAAATGCAGGGCCTTGGTCCCACTCCAAAGATGTGTATGCTTTTACTTTGAAACATTTTGGAAGCCCCACAGATTCCCAAAGAGAGACATTGGCGAGTGTCTGTAGGTTGGGGGAATCACGTTCATGAAAATGTGAACCCCGACAGGAAGGAGAGGAAAGGAGAGGACCAGACTGGGAGTGGGGCAAGAAGTCAAATGCCTGAAGCCACTTTTGAGGTTTGAGTCCTTTTTAATGCTTTACATGGCAACACTTTTTCCGCCTTTCATTTTGAAACATTATTTCACAGTCAATTAAGACCATGTGTTTCAGATTTGTTAACTCTCAACTGTCATCAAAATGTTTCTTGATGTTGAAGGAATTCATGTTGACTCTTGGCGTCTTTTTTCCTTTATAGCCCCTGGGGAAAAGGCTAATGGGAAATTATGATTTTAGAAATCCAGATAAATCTTGCTTTTCAAATGCAGATTTGCCAGTAGACAGAGACTAGAAAAGGGGTGGGGCACTGGTTTCTAGGGGCCTTGCTTTAAAAATGATTTTTAATGCCTTTTATTGTACCTGTCCCAACCTGTTTCATGGTAGATGGTTATATTAGAAGCTCCAGAGGAGGCACATGATCTGGGCCATGCTTGTGTGACAAAATGTTAGCAGAAGGTCAATATAAAAAATTTAAGGTTTTTCATTTCCTTTCAGGCAAGTTCCCCCAGTCTTAACCATCATATTACAATTTGCTTCCTTCCTCCCCCCTTCCCTCTCCCCCTTTCTCCCTCCTCCTCCTCTCTCCTCCCCCTTTCCTCTCCCTCCTCCTTTCCTCTCCTTCCTCCTTTCCTCTCCCTCCTCCTTTCCTCCCTGCTTCTCCCTCTCCTTCCTCCCCCTTTCTCCTCCCTCTCCCCCTCTCTCCTCCCTCTTTCTCTCTTACCTCCCTCCAAACCCCCCACCCCAGTCATGTATACTCAGTGGTTTACAATCCTGATTTTCTAAATTTGCCTGAGGTGGTTTATGTAATTGAAAACCAAGGTATGCTGAACAAACTCAATTCTGTGTGTGTGTGTGTGTGTGTGTAAATTCTTTCAAGGAAAGAAAAAAAATCAAGAGCAGCCACATTTAGTAACTTGAAATGCCAGACCCTGGTGCCATGACAGGGACACATTTAAAAGAGGCCCCACACTCCTGTGTGGCTCAGTTCTCAGAAACATAGCACCTCACATAACAGCCTGAAAGTTAGGTTTCACACCTCTAAGATTAGGATATGTTCTTCCTGAGGTATGGGGTGTTTTCTAGAACATGAAGACATGAAGAACATGTAAGGAATGTACAATTCCTTATACATGAAATCATTATACTGACAAATGGTCTGGAGAAGTAACCCTTCCGTGCATCCCGGGGGGAAAATTCCTCTGTCTTTCCTCAAATCTGAGCAAAGCTCCATACAGTCACACTTGCTCTACTATGGCAAGAACCCTCCTCCATCACGGCGCTGCAGGCTGGTGGTCGGTGAAGAGCCTGCCCTGACGTGATCAACCCCCCGAATGCCCGCATAGGGGAGGGCCTGCGCACACGCAGGACTCTGTCTTCCTCCAACATCAGGGGATTTAGATTTGACAGCTGGCCCAGGAATAAGCCTGATTGCTCCGTGGTTTTTCTCCCTTTGCAACATTTTAGGCAATGTTCGATTTCATTGCTGGAGAATCTCGGGCCGGCCTCATGTGCACCCTGTCTTGTGTTGCGAGGGTGATTTCAGAGCAGATGGCCTGAAACTTTGGGAGAGCTAAGGAAGGCATGAGCATTTCAGTTCCAGGAAAGTACACCACACGGGAGAAGGGACATGGGCTTCACTTTCAAGAGGAGATGAGAAAACCCAATAACTCGTAGCAAGTGTGCTGAATTAGCAAGAGAAGGTTGACTTATAATCAAAGTTAAGCGAGAAATGGTTTTTTGAACTCTTAAACCCAGGAAATGAGCCTGCCAATCTGCTGTATCTGAGAGATAGCATCTTGGCACCCTGGGAAACAGTGTTCTGACAAACATATTATTGCCCTCCTTCTCATATCTATAAGAAAGTCTTTAAGATTATTAGAAATTCTTAGAAAAAGCGCAGATACATGCCTGTAGAAATCTTTACGCCTGCACTATGGTCTGTTGACGATTTCTGCCAGCCTGCCCCACTGGGTCTTTTTGCACCCAGTCGTTACATTTCGGGGACAGTCCTGTTGTTTAATATTTCCTCGGTAACAGAGTGCTCACTACCTCTCGTGAGAGTTTCACGTCTCCACGCTTCCTCGAACACAGCGGCTCTCCCCACCACTCCCCAGCTCCTTCTGTTCCATTTAGTTTGTCCCTTTCAGAAGATCCATTATCCCCATAATTAAACAACCCACTGTCCCGATTAAGTCATTCTCTGTTACTTCAATTACATCCCATTGTTCATTAAATCCTGATGTTTGCACTTCAGCAACCTTGTTTTTAATACTCCTAGCATTTGTGGAGAAACAGTGAAGTTAATTAACAATTCTTAGGATTTTTTTTTTCTTTTTCTCTCTACCATAGTGCAAATCATTTCCATTATGACTTGCAATAATACCGAAACCATTACTAACTTCATAGTTACTGTTCTTAGCTTCCTGATCAAAGAAGTGAAACCATTTTTTTATAATCATTTAGGTAAGTCATTCCCTAGTTGATGGCAAGCAGTGGAAAATGAAAAATTAACATTAAATGAGTGCTTGAAATGACTTTCCTCTTCATACTCTTTCTTCTCATACCCATAATCTTGGGATTAGAAAATAATTTAGTTACCTAAATACAAAGGTATTTAATTTCCTTCTTTATAGCTCAAATGTGACTTTATTACTTCATTGTTAAGGATCCTTATTTATACTTCTACTCCTCAGAGAATGGTAACTTGTATAGCAAATCGTGGTGGAGATAAAAGGCATTTTTTCCCTTTTTTTTTTTTTTTTTGACATTGTCAAAGTCAGCATTCCATTTGAAGTCACCATTGTCTAGAGCAGGGATCACCAAACAAGAACCTGTGGGCCA